GGGTTGAACATATTTGTAGGTGAAAATATGTTCAACCCACTGATACATTCATTACAGTTTCATTCATTTTGAATATGGTCTCTGCTTACAGCGAATACAGTGAATACTTGTTTTTAGTAGATTGTAATAGTTGTTTCAATTTGTTGTGTTTATCCAGCTGTAAAATAATTCACTTTTCTTCTCTAGTTGTTCAGTAAATAGGTTTAGATTGAAGGTCAGTGAGTTGAACACTTATTTGGCATGTGACTTGAAATCCAATCTCTGTTCTTTGGAAAAATGAATTGCTTCAGTCAGTTCCAACAATTTTTTCTTTCTTTTAAGAGCTCCAACATAAACCGTTGTGCCAAACTCATAGTAGTAAGGATCACATATTTCTTCAGTTTAAATTAAATCATGATTAACTACCTTAGACCTTAAGCAACATTATATCTTTGTTTGTGTGTTTGTGCTTCCTTTGATGATAATTTGAGACACTTTCTGTTACTTAGTGCCTAGCAATAGTCAAACGCTCTTAATTTCACTATATACTGTATCTGCAAAGTATGCGTCTTTATTCTGTGTGTAATTCAAATACAGCTCTTGCATATGTATATTCAACATCTTAAATAGCAAGTGGTAAATGAGTGTTACACACATCATTTTCACAGTTGATATATACACAATCATTTGTTGAATTACTTTAGAAGGGTTGATTTGTGTTTTACTGCTTGTCCTGATGAGGGGGATTTGAGGCTTGCCATGGCTTCATCGGGGCTCCAGCCACACAGCAGGAAGAAGATAAAAAGGGGGCTTTAGAGGAAGGAAAAAAATCACAGCGCATTAAAAACAAATCTACTGGGGGATCCACCAGCAGCTTAAGTGAGCCAAGACGATTAAAGGGTCAGTGGTCATAGACCGCGGCTTGAACGTACCTGATGCCACTCACCTTGGTCCACAAGAGGCGATGCCAAAACCAATCTCTCAAAATCAAAAACATACACAGGAGACCGATGAAGGTCAATGCAAAGTTACCGTAGATAATGACAACTAACTCAGCAGATATTTTGGCTTGTTGGACATTCTTACCATATTTAATATTTTTTAATTGCCGTTTCTAACTTCTAGGTTATTGTATGGAAATGCAGTAAATATGCTGATGGTTTTAAAATGACTGCCATGCATTTACACAATGGTAGTGTCCTTAAGAAAACAACAGCAGATGTGAAGTTCAATGCGATAGCCTTTTAATAACATAGAATGATGGCTGCATGCCACTTGAATAAGCATATTCTACTGTAGAGTAAAATATTACCCAAGAACCTTGTGGAGCACACACTATCCCCTTGGACTTTTTCTTCTAGTGAAACACGGAGGTTGGACTGTAGTGACTCAACATTTCGCTCTATCAATAAGGTCCTCTCTCTTTTCTCTGCCCGGTGTCACTAGTGGTGACTCTGAGTGGCTCCCCAGCCAAAGACCTGCTTTATCAAGCAGCCAATTTAACAAGACAGCTCTTTTCATGCTTGTTGGCTTCTCCAGTGGTAATGGATTTCCTCAATGAGTGTGTCTCTTTTTCCAGGTTTCACACTTTTCCCTCTGTACTGCTGGGCCCCACTCCAGATCAGATCTTTTCCATTGACTTTGATTTCTTAAGGTAAGTGATCCATCACTCCAGGCCTCACCAGCGTTGCTTGAAATCTGGCCTCACTTTGGCTCCACATGGCTGATATTGTACACTCTAATGCAAAGTGAAGTAGCACGTCTAAATAGCTTGTCACTTCACCCCCACCCAACAAATACCCACCCCACCTACAAGTCTCTCTCGTCACCTACATTGGTTTCCAAGCCTCCCAGCTGGGAACCAGTTCCAGTGTTTGTGGGGGAATGTAAACTATATAGCGATATTAAGGGGCATTAAACAAGTTGATTACATTTTCGTCGTAATAATGAATGACGAAAATGTGTAACTGATGTCATACACTTGAGTAAAAAAAAAAAAATGCTAGAGAGAGCTTTGAATAAACTCCCGCCATTGATTCTACTACGCAAGAGTCATACAAAATCAGCATTGCGCAATAATGTAAAAATATACATACTTTCACTCGCTTTTCATAGGCAGGCCATTCATTTAGAAAAATGGTCAGGCAAAACCTCTCTACTATCAACAAAATATGTAGTATACTCAGCCAATCGCCGATAGCTGATGTCTTGGTCCAATCGCCCAATCTTACTAATACTGTATACGCATGTTTATTTTGGATTTTTAAACCGTTTGCAACTAGCTTACTAGATAGCAGGTAGCTGTTCTCAACACACAATGTTAGAATGCCTAACTTGACAGCAGAATAAAGGGTTAGGGTTAGTATGTTTACAGCCTGGTACAAAACAAGGTTTAGTCTTTACAACTATAGCTCACTTGTTTAAATGGATGCATAGAGTTTTGCATTATTAAAGGTGTGACCACTTTAAGTGAAAGGTAGTTTCCATTACAGCCGCTAGCCGATAGGCGTCACCTCAGCTAAGTGGGGCTTTGGGTCAACTAGCGTGTTGGCAGTGTTGGTGCCTGTTGGAAATGTAAAGTAACAATATTGAACATGATATAGTTTTCTGTGTAGTTGATTGTACACCAGGTACCCTGCTGGCAAATACCTTGTACCGTACCTTGTCATGTTACACTTTTATGTGACAAGTTGGTTCACTGAATAAGTCTGTGCTACATCATTTTATTTGTGTGGGTAAGATTCTGGTATTTTATTTATATGTTGGCACTATTATCAGGTAGGGTTATGGTGTCTGTGCTCACAACGCCAGCCTTATTACTTTAGCTTTTTGTCTTTCTACAAAATAAATGCTCTAAGTTGTTGAGTGTTCATGTTTGGTTGTAACCTGTATCATTTGTTTGTTTGTTTGTTCGTTTATTTATTTAAAGGACAGTGCGCATTAATTCACATTGCTGTAAATGAGCCAGTATTAGCCAGCAGGCTAATTTTCAACTGTTGTCCAGTCATCATTGCTCAAATACCCTCACTGATTGGAACATAACATAGCTGAAATATGTTAGCTGTACTGCTGGGTCACCTGTGTCTCTGAGCTAATTTTTAATCGGAGGAAGTGGAAAGACTGCAAGACACAGGGTAGCAAACGAGGGGTGAGCCTTGCAAATCTAGGCGTATTGTAAACACACACACACCACTGCTTCCTCTTTGATAATTACTATCCAATCGAGCATAAATGAGGCGTAATTCAAACTTTACCCTACCAAGTAGACATAAGATCAAACATTGAGGCTAAAACCAGGAAACAGAAGTACCATGCTTTGAAAACCAGTGGTTACTCTGATTCAGCTTTTGTTTAAACCCAAACTAGTTCAGCTGAAAGTGACAGACCAAAACAAAAAGCTAAACACAGGCCAAAACAGAACCACTCTGTATTTTCATATACAGTACTGCTTCAATTTTTAAATTAATATAGAAGATGCTTTTATTTATTTTTTTTGATGAAACTCCATATCATGGATTATCAAGGATTATTTCTGAAACAGTATGGAGCTCAAAGGCTTTCTCTCTTGCCGGTTATACCACAAGGTGAGTTCCTTTTTATATCCAGCTTCTTCACACACATGCTCTGTGCAGTACAGGTTAGTTCTGAGTGTTAGCGAAGCTAATGTAAACAGTAAACACAGACCATATTACGTCCAAAACAGTCGGGCATTGTTTCTGATAGCAACTTTCTTATAGTGCCGTGGGTCCACATTTCCATATCGGACGCAAATCTGGATCAGCTCTGTTGTACCCCTGTTTTTAGAGATTTGGGTACAGAGGAAAAGAGAGAGGGTTTTATTTTCTGACGCTGCGTGAGTTCCCTGACACACCGGGGACACATGTTTATGTATAAAAGACATCACAAAGTGCATTTTGCATGATAGGTCCCCTTTAACTTTTTTTATCTATTTCAGCCTGTATATGCACTAGTGTTATGCTCATGGATATATTTCTTGTTTCCTTGATGTAGAAAGCATAGGTGGAAACCCAATTCAAATATCCTACAGGGTTGAACTATAAAGTAAATCTCAACACAAAGGATTTTTTTGTTTTCATTTCTCTTCTTTCCCCGGCTGTGTTGAAACGTAGTGCAGACTTCCCTGAGATGAACTGCAGTTTTTCAGTTGAGTGACAGATGGGAATAGCTTTAAAGTATTCCACGGGATGTTTCGCAGGAGCAGACAAAGGCAGAGCTGTTATTCTGTGCTCTAATTAGAAATAACTGTCTGTTCAGAGGCGTTGATGCAAACTGACCCGCTGTTTTGACGTCAGTCCAACGAGTCGATCAATATCAGAGTGTGGAGCTGATGCTTATTGAACTAGTTTCAGCCTGATGTTTGACCTCTTGCATACAGCACACATATCTCCACATAAATATTTACTTTTTATAACATGAAGAAGACAAATTATAGACAAATCGATATTGTGTAAATTGTTATCAGGCGCATTGACTCTAAAGAATATGTTTTTTTGTCAACCCCTCTACTTTGAAACCAGCAGTAACACTGTTTGGACTTCCTGCCTGTTGTTTTGTTGTTGTGCGTAGTTATGTTAGTTCATCTCCATGGACAATAAGATTAGAGTGCTGCAGAGAGGACATCATTTAGTTGGCAAGCCTATAAATGAATCGTCCTTACTACATTAAAAACAATTTCCATTATATTTTTAATAGGGCTGTCGAATGCATCAAATCCATTGCAATTGAGTACTTATAAAAAGGATAATTCTTTAAAATAAAGTAAATTAACCGATGTACCAATGTGACTGTACGTTACTCAGGGTTTAATAACACCATTAAAAGTGCCTTGTTTTCCTTGTATTGCGTCTTAATATCTGTTGTTGTCTGATTTTGAAACGGAAGCTTCTGTGATGCAAGAAAAATGTCGGACTTGATCTCACAATAAAGTCCTATCGTATTTTTATTCAGATTCTAGCACTACATAATGCCAAGGAGAGGAAAGGTGTGAAGATGTTACATGACGGTGCTGAACTCACCTGACAGTCAAAGTCCTGCAGATTTCTCCCATTCTGAAGAGAGAGAGATATTCGTTAATCACTGTTGTTATGAAATGAGTTCAAGCATCTAGCGCATATGGATCGGATGGTAAGATATGTCTTAGTTGAATATTCCTTTAGTCATGTGTTATCAAACAAAATGGTGCTGTACCTGTCCTGTCAGGAGAGGTTTGATCTCAGTCAGCTGGACGTCGTGAAGCTCCTCCATTATAGAACTGCTTTACTGTCAACCTGAACACACACGTATTCATGGCAGATTTAAAAAGAGGGAGACAGGTACGGTGTTAGACAGTAACACCTATCAAAATGTCACAGGTGAGCGTCTGTCAGGGATTTTGAAATTCAAAGTCATCTTTAAAGCTGATGAATGAATGGTAAAAGCAGCACAACAGGTAAACATGCACGTAAAGTCCAACAAAATAAAGAGCAGCCTGAAGACAGTTTGGCCGAGGTTTTTTGCGTAAAAATGTAATTATCTTGCATCCATGATCCAGATCTGCTACCTGTCTGTCTGCCCATCTATCTGTCTGTCTCTCTGGGTTTCTTCCTGTGTCTTATCCAACAGTGTGAATCTAATGGAAAGAGCGAGTGACCTCTCATTGGCAGTATGCCATCCAGCTGTGTGTGCGTGCGTGCGTGCGTGCGTGCGTGCGTGCGTGCGTGCAGACAGCTTGGGTAACAGTGGTTCGGAGTGGTTTAGATGGATGTTGAGCTTCCTGTGGGCAATCTGGCTCTGACCCAAACAGATAACTGACTGACAGTGAAGCTGAAGTTTGATCAGTGCACAGAGATGAGATGTACTGTCGATATAGTTAAAATCATCAATGTAACTCGTCCTTCATAAAGGTTTTTTCTGTTGATTGAGAGGAATGCAGAGTATGAAATCAAACTAGCGGTGCAAGATGTTCAGAAAAACAATTTTAAAAAAATGCACTAAAAATGCAATATTGTTATTATTTATTATCATATGAAAAACATTCAGGAATTCCAATCAGATGATACAATACATGTTTTAAGGTAATCCTTTCTGAACCTTAACACTTTTCATTTAAATTACATTCCTCTTTTGCAATCACAGCTTCCTTTCAGTATTATCTCCTGTTCCTCTCAAATGTTAAGGTTGTCCACTTTGGTTATTTGATCAATTGATTAAGAAGGATTATGATTAGTGATTAGCTGTGTTTGTCCATCACCACAACCTCTGTGTATCCACGATGCCTTAAATGATGTTAACTTTTCTTATAGATTAGTCATAGAAAATGAAACCCTGTACGCTTTCCCTTTATATTAAGTAGCATAAAGTTGCAGCGTTACTGTTGACGTTCACCTGGAACTTGGATAATGTATTGATCATGCACACAGATAATGTGAAAGATAACTTGTGAAAGTATTAGACATTTCAAGTCTAACTAAAAATGATCAGTTACAATAATAAGCTTAGCATCATATCTGTGTGCGTTAACTGCGTTTCCAAGATGAAGTGAGTGTATAACGATGCTCTTGGCTCAGCTGTCCGCCTACACACACACACACACACACACACACACACACACACACACACACACACACACACACACACACACACACACACACACACACACACACACACACACACACACACACACTGTTTCTCACACCCACACACACACACACACACACACCGAGGCTTAACTGTTGCTAAACCGAGCCTGGTATCCCGGCTTCACACACACACACACACACACACACACTTAAATGCTGCCTAATTAATGAGCCTGGATGCTAATGTTAGCTCCAGGCACACAGCTCAGGCGTAGCAACCGTTACTATGGGAGACGTTGCCCCACACACACACACACACACACACACACACACACACACACACACACACACACACACACACACACACACACACACGGCAGTAACCAAATACACCGTCGCCATAGAAGATAACCCTCACAAGGACGGATCAATAACATACGAGCTAACTCAGAAGTACCCGTTAATACGACAATTAGCCTAATGAGCTACACTAGCTATTCATAGCTAATCAGATAATAGGTAGCCGTTACGTTGCAAACGTTGTCCGTTACAAAGCAGTTAGTTACTAACCGTCAGTCGTTATCTCCACTGGATACTGAAGTTTTCCGTTCGTTAGTTGGTTAGCTGCTGCTAGACGTTAGCCCGTCAACTGATAACCGTTGGAGAGTTTAGCAGGTGGTCGCGAGGCTCCTCTGTCTCTCACACTGAGCTCACTGTCAGCAGCACGCGGAGCAAAGGGGCGGAGCTACGTCACCGTAAACAAGAGGGCGTGCATTCAGTCCGCGGTCAGGAGGGCACCAAACTCTAACAGGTGTTATTTATATTTAGAAAGAGCTGAAAAAAGTAGAAAGTATTACAAAATAACTGAATTTAGTAGTTGATTTATCTTTTGTAATATGGTCCCAACATGGAAAAGTAGTCAAAAAATACAAAATGATCATCT